TTTTATGAAAAGAACTGACGCAGTATATGATGAGCTATCATTAAATTATTTATTTCGTCCTTAAAGGTTTGAAGAACTTCATTTCGAAGACAGATGAGAAAGTATAAATTTAGAAAAAGTTTATTAAAACATAAACTTGTAATTCTTATTCACGAATGTTTCTACTTATGATAAAAGAAAAGAATTTGTTTGAAAAAACTTATCTCCCGGTTCCTCAGAGAAATTTTATGAAATGTTCCCCATTGAGAATGCTTGATGTAGAAGGTGAGAAGATTGTACTGTCCTGAAAAAGACAGTTTTTAGTTGTTATTCCCTGAAAAGAACCGTTCGTTGCTACTGGCGAGGCTGAAGTGTGACTGGAGCTAGAGATAGTTGGACCCGGTAGGGAGCTGCAACCAGTGGTAAGCTGGAGCTGTGACTGCTGGAACTGCTCCTGCTGATGGATGGATCTGATGGGTTGGCTGTCTGCAGCTGGAACTGTTATTCTTAGATCCTAGTCATCTTGGCTGTGGAATGCTACTTTTCGAGCTTTTAGGACTTTATAGATCCTGAATCAGTTTTACGATAATCGCTGGTCCTGAAATGTTAAGCTTCTTCCATTTGTTATTTTTAATACCAGCCCAAAATCCCTGTAGTTGAGCAGATATTATTAAGCAACTCTAAGTGGAGCACACTTAAGAAGACACACAAGAAATATGGCTCAGTGCCGTAACGGCAGAAAAAAATTAAACAAATCAAAGTTTTCTTTGAGCTGATCTGGCTATAATTCACCAACATTTTGCGAAACATTCCCAAGAACACTATTCGCCAATTGTATTAGCGACCAATCTTCATGTAAGATTTATTCATTACTGAGGATTTGGTTGAAAATAAATAATTTATTGACAGATTGTCTCGGCAATTTTAGAAAAATTAGCAGCAATTTATTAATTTTTTTTCCAAAATGGTGTTTTTCAAAAGTTGAAAGGGAGGTAACCTATAATGGCTGAAGTTTTAGGCCCTGGATCCATGTTTATGATATTATTACAAAAAGAATAGAAAATTTAAAAAAAAATGTAATCTGAAATAATATTAGAAGAAAAATGTATAATGCCAGGAAATATCACGTTTATTTAAATATTCTTGTTCTATATTATTTCTCTGTTTGCTGCTTCTATGACATAAGGCCCGATTCATTTTATCTGCAGTGATTTCTAAAGGTAGCTGCTTAGTAATAAGATTTTCTGAAGGCCTATTGCCACCTGCTGCAAGTTGATTAGTCGATAACGTTTATTCTCTGTCATTTGAAAGACGAAACTGTGCATGTTGAGGGTTAGCCTCGATTAAATATCCCTCCTCAACGAGTTAAAATGTCGCTTGTGTTGAGCACAGTTGGTAGAGATTCATACTCAAAATCAAATGAAAGTAGTTCATATAGAAAAGATTTTACCATGATTCTATTGGAAAATACCGTCCTTTCAAGACTAATAATACTGACCATAAAATGATACCATTGTATCTTTATACCTGTTCATTGCCTGTAGCATTGTAAGGTGTTGTTTTCCTATGATTCTTTTGTCAAATAACGTGATTACAGCCTGTCCGTTACATATATTATAAGGTGTTGGTTTATTAGTGCCTATCCGTCTTGAGAAGAACCATTCTGTCATCTCCCTTAAAATAAATGATGTGCCATCTATCAGAATGCACATGATGTTGATTTCTTGTGGGGATTTAAAAAGTCACTCATGTTGAGTACAGTCAGTAGAGGTCAAATTAAATGTAGCGCATCTGGAAGAACATTTTCTATTGAAATTACCATTCCTTCAAGTCTAATAACACAGGCCTTAAAAAGATACCATTATTTTTTTATACCTGTTTATTGCCTGTGGCATTGTAAGCTGTTTGGTTTTTACCATAATTCTATAGTAAAATACCACGATTAAAAGGCTAACAATACAAATCTCCAAATGATAGGATTGTATCGTTTAAAATTCACATTGCCTGTGGCATTGTAAGGTGAGGTTTTCCCTTGATAGTATAAGAAATCCCGTGATTTCAAGGTTAATATACTGACCTCCAAATGATACTGTTTGTATTTTTTGAATTGTAGATTACCTATATTGTAAGGTGTTGTTTTATTAGTACCTATCCATCTTGAGAAGAACCATTCTGTCTTCTCTCTTGAGATATATGCCTCTCTTGAAATGCACATATGATGACATTCCAAAAACAGAAAATAAATTGCTGAGATAACTTTTGACAGTTGCAGATGTAATCTTTTATCGTGCTTTAGTCATATTTTTGGAACATGTCCAAAACTTTTGCATGTTAGATTTTCTTCTTTTGGTCAATAAATTTATGTAGCAGAAGACATTTTATGTAATCCAATTTGTGCCATGTCTTTTGCAAGAGATTTTCTCCTCTCTTGTCATCAATCACATTCAGATTATCATTTGAAAATACTGAAGACCTTACATATCAAATCTAAGCAACCTTCCCTCTGTAAGCAGGAAAAATGTTTGTTAGGTCTCAAGGTTTTCTCTTTGTGACTAGAATTGCTGATTGTTTCTGGTAACCTGAATCCATACAAAAATAATTCAATATATCTATAAAAATATTTTTTATAATATTGAAAACTTGCCATGAAAAATTACAAAAATAATTCAAGAATAAAAAAATAACTTTTGTAGTAATTTATTGCTAGTGTATCTTTCTTCCAGATTTAACAGCAGAAAATGTCTACAAGGAATATGAATTTTTCAAAAGTTTTGTTGCCAGTAAACTTTTGAAAAATTTATATTTCATTTTGATTTTTTAAAATTTTTCCATTTGTTGAAAGAGATATTTTATAAAATGGAAAATTTTTATGGTATTTTCATATCAGAAGTATTTATTAAATAATTTTATTTTCACGACTGTTAAATCATTTTTTATCTATATGTACATATATGTATATATATATATATATATATGTATATGTATATATATATGTATATGTATATGTATATATATGTATATGTATATGTATGTATATGTATATGTGTATATATATATATATATATGTATATGTATATATATATGTATATGTATGTATATATATATGTGTATGTGTGAAAATCTATAGAAAATAGGAAAGAACTGGTTAGGTAGATCCAAAGTTCCTTAGCATTCTAGTTATTATTTTTAAAAAATAGTGCTCGATACAAATGCAGAGCATAAATATAATTATTCATTTAAAAATATGATTCTAACTCGTGACATAAGAGGTATCCTGTTTCAAAACAAGAGCTGAAAACTTCCATATAATTATTTGAATTAAATTGAGTTAAAGAAATCTCTGTTCCATCTTCAAGTGAAATTTTTTTTGGAATAACTTATTTCAGAAATTTATGTGTTTTAATAATGGAAATCAAAATTTCCGTGGTAACAGCCAGGGCGAATTGTTTAAATTGTGTAGGCGTGGGTTGGGTGTTCATAATAAGTATCAGTATAGAGTTACTTTCATAGATGTCAAGTCGGTGCAAGGCGTGGGTGTCTAAATTTGAAACGAAGATGTTTTAGCCTAGTCTGGCTTACGTGTCTATGGAGATTTATTTATTTTTTATTTTATTCCTTTATGAAAGGGATTTGTGCGTATAAAAACTGCCGTAACTTTTGTTTTTTGTCGACTTCATAAAGGGTTATTTATTTTGGCTATGGATTGTAAAAGTTATTATATTGTATTCTTGTTTTTAGCTAATCATTCAAACCATAGATTTGATGATGTCGACAAAAAACCATTAACTCATGTCTATTGTTTAATAGATTATTATTATTTAGAAACTTAATAATGTGCAGCTTCTCATGGAGGCAGAAAGGGCATGGGTCATCCCAAGTTTTACATGTTCTAGCCTTGTTTATAATTTTCCATTTTACTTTAGGTGTCCTATTTATTTCCTTCAGATGCCAAAAATATTTAGATAGGGAAGTTTGGTTTCTTTTATTTATATTGTTGAAAGAGCACTTATGCTGCCTCCTTCTAGCTTTAAAATCATTCTTTGTGGATCCAATGTATATCATATGAGTACTAGGACTCTCAGTGGATGATATAGTACATTGGTATACCAAAGATTTGATGCAGCATTTATTTTTTAATGGGCAGTCGTCTGGCTTTCTACAATAGTATATATATATGTATATATAATATATATATATTTTCTCTACCATAAGTAGTGCTTTTTAACATCACCATTGTATTTATTATTGTCATTATCATGCTTACCACAATTGTTATCATAGCTATAATTGTCGTTATTGCCTTCCCTCTTTCTTTTTTTTTTTTTTTAATTTTGTCATAAGGCGAAATTTACCATTAACACATCAATATCTGAATTTAACATGATGAATAATAATTAATATCACAGCTGTTATCACTACCAGCACAGTCATAACCCTTAATAACACAAGCAGTTAGCGTTGAAAATACAAGCATCATTACCACCATGATCATAAACTGAACCCAGCTTAACGAAAGTAGTGGTGAAAAGGCCCAGACCAATAATAGTGTATCTGCGTGTCTACACGTGTGTCTGTGTGTATGTGAGCTAGTGTATGTTTCTCTGATAGCCCATGTGGTATATCTGAAAAGCGTCAAGAACACCTCTATCTGCTCCTTGTTGAAACGAACATCGCTACATATAAAAAGCTACGGTCCCGACACCGAAGCAGAATTACAACTGCATATGTATGTATGCTTGAACACACGGATATGTATCTGCGTGTAGCCTTCAATTGCTTATATGGATGTGTTGGTGTGAACTAAAATGCATACACCTGTATGTATGTGTGTATGTCTCTATGCATATCTCTTTCAAAAAATCACTGCAGAGGGATTTAAAGTTGATTTAATAGTTATTATTCTGAAATATAAAAATTTAAAGACTAGAAATCTGTCAAGAAAATAACCTTTACTGAATGTCATTTTACGATTTCTTAAAAACCTTATTTTCCTTTTATTTTTGCAGGCCTATCATGATTTAATGGGATTCATTCTTACTATGAATGAATTGGTAAAATCAAAAAAAGTGTCTGATTCATATTTAATTTCCCAAGTAAGTATAACTTTTGATTGTTTTATACTTTTAGCATCAGAAAACTTTTTTTATAATTTAGATTAAAAATGTCATATTAGTGAAAGTTAGGTATCTTTAAAAAGCTGGCAAGGAGTTGTTTGGAAATTACTTTAAGATATTTAATAAGATGTTTTTATAGATTATTTTTTTTGTTTGAATTTCTGGACTGAGGATTTATTTTTATTTACAATCGGATTAATGTCCCCATCTTTTTTTGTTACTGTTATAACATTTCAGCTGTTGTGCCCTCTGGTCTTCTTCAGGTGTCTGTTGATCCAAGTAATCTTCAGGGAATTTTGAAATGAAGCCTTTATTTAATCTACAGGAGTAAATGGTTTTGTTCCACTGTCTATGTCTAGGGATTTAGTACTGCTCAGTATCCCGTCTCTACTGAGTTTAAGTCTGTACTACCTGGTTCAGGAATTGAACCTACAATTACTATGTTAATAAATTCACAAACCTATGCTAGTCTACTGTCCCATGGATTAAAGAGTTGGTTTGTTTTGGGTAATACTTAGATTCAGTGGAAATGGGATGAGCAATAACTGAGCAGTACTAAAAACAAAAAAATAAAAGTTCAGATATCCCTAGAAATAGGCAGTGGAACAAGAACAATTCACCTTTGTAGATTAAATAAAGGGTTCAATTTGAAATTTCCTGATGATTATTTGGATTGACAGACACCTGAAGAAGTCTTGGGGGCAGAACAGCCAAAACATTATGATAATAGCAACAAAGGTGAGAAATTAGTCTGAATAAATAAGACACCTTTCCATATATCTAATAGTTGATTCCCACATAAGCCTAAAATCAATGTACAGATCTATTATTGCAATTTTTTTTTTCATTTTCCTATTTGTTTGATCTTTTTTATTCATAATATCTTTTCATCTAAAATTCCTTTAATGATCATTGTCATTCACTACTTTTCCAGCAACAGATGTTATGGATTGAAATGTTCATTCAATGGAATAAAAATTGCAATTTTTTTAGAAAACCTACAATCATCTAGATTCTTAGATGCAAAGAAAATAAAAGCTTTTGTTAGAGTACTGACAGTACAACTTATTCAGACAAAGTTTCAGTATTGTGAAACACAAACATCAATTTGATGAGCTGGATGATGCATGTTTCTGAATAAAAATAAATTTCTTAAATAAGGAATAAACAGAAACTATGCTTCTAAATATAATTTTTGTCTATCAATAGTTAATCTTTCTTTAATGCAAGTAGGTTTTTTAAGGTATATTTTGACTTTATTTTTAAGGTATATTTTGACTTTATAGATGAAGGTGTATCATTTCAAACATTTTGAGAATATTAGAGAAACCTGTAACAAAATATTTCCTGCTGTTTTGCTTGTGCTGAGAAGTTAATAAATAGACTTGTCAGTGCAGGAAATATTTAAAATTAATTTTGGCACTTCAATTTCCTCTTTGTTTTGTATATTGACAACAGTTGAAAAGAACAAAAAATAGTTACAATATAGACAATAACTTATTTACATTTTCTAAGAACTGCTTTTAAGTGATTTCAAATAAGTTTTTAACCTTTTTGTTAGCAAATTTAATTTTTATAGTCCATGTGTTGGGGAATTATTGAGTTAAATGTTTTATAAGCAGATATTTTACCTTGTATTACAGACTGTGAAAAACCTTATTGAACTGTTGAATACACTTGATCGGTGGATTAATGAGACTCCTCCCATTGAACAACCCCAGAGATTTGGAAACAAAGCTTTTCGAACTTGGTTTTCCATTTTACAAGAAGTAAAAATTTTATCTTTCATGAATTTCTTAATTTTGTTCATTCAGAATGATTTCCTGTTTATTGATTTATAAAGTTCCAGCATTAGAACCATTTATTTACTAAATTACTGTTAATAAACCAGTTTGTATAACTTGTAACAGGCATTCATATCAGTTGTTAGTTTAGAGAAAATAACAGATTTGCAAATTGAAATATTTTATCTGTAATATTTAATACTCTAGCAATAAATCTCTTATCCAAATCCTTGGAATCAGATATATTTTGGAATTTAAAATTTTTCAAATTTTGGAAAGGTAGTATATACATGTTCTTGTAAAATTAGCCTGTACTAAAAGCCAACTTTTTAAAAGGTAAATTGTTGTACTGGTGCAATATTTATGAGTAATGTCTCTGCAGTGAAGTTTATGAATATTCACACTGAGTATGAAAAATAAAGACTGTAATTGATATCATCACAGTCATTATTTGTGTTTTGTTATTTTGCCCACCTCATAAATGAGGGGGGCAAAAATGGATCATAGACATTACATATGTAATTTTTATTTTAAAGTAAAACATCACTATCAGGAGGTGATGTTCATTTACATTGTAAATCACAAAACTATAAAGCATACCAGTGAGCAACAAAAGCTTGTTTGATTGGCATGAGTCCTGAGACACAACTATTTCAACAGTGAGTCAGATCATGTTTCAGCACCAAACATGAATTTTCTTATGTGGACAACTGCCATAAAAAATATTGGAATTTTGCAATAGAGAGTATTGACTCATAATAGATTATGTTATCTTTTGTTAACAATATTTTGATCATTATGCTTTTTAGTTAGCACTTATATTGATGTTAGTAAATGAACATCCAACCTATTATTATAGAGAAGTAATTTGAAAAGATATCAACTCTGTGACTAGCCAAAATTTTGTAAGGTAGATGATGAGGGAACTGGTGAATATATGTGATAGGTATTTGGAAATGGAATATTACCATACTGGTGTATATGTGTGCATGACTTAATGTACAGAAAACTGCTTAGGAATTCCAGGTGTAAGCTTGGATGTAATGGTGGTGTCATGGATAAAGACTTGGAATTCTTAATTCCAATTGGGCTTGTTATTTTCACTTATGTACAAATACCCTTGGAGAAAGTGTGAATTCACCTCTTCTACTCCTAGCTATGGGTTAATTAATAAGACTTGTATCATTTAATCATTATTATCTCCAAAAAAAATTCTTACAGTCTAAAAATATTTTCTTGTTTAAATAACCATTAAAGTGTTGATAGGCCATAGAAAATTAATCAATCAATCAATTAATTAATGTATGGAAATAAAATTCATTTTGGTTTAAAGACATTCCATTCTTTTAATTAGGTACGTTTTTTCCATCTTAATTTTTTTGTCAATTTGACAACAATATTTTACTATTTATTTTTTTAGTTTTAACTTTTGTTGTACTTTGTATTGGTAGAAATTTTGGAGTTCATGCCTTCTTACAAGGAGAAAATATTATTAAAGGTTGTCAAGCAATTTTCAAAAAGCAATCTGATGATTCAATTTATTGTACATATTCCTCATCAAATATGTCTGCTTTGTAAAAAATTAAAGAATATTAGAAAATATTTTTTTTAAATATTTCCATTAATGCTAAAATATTAAATTGAATGTGATTGTATTACTTTGCATAAGATATAAAATGACTATTTCTTTGTCTTTTAGTGATCATAGTCAAGTTTTTCATGCTAATGCAGGTGTCCCCCAGAGCTCCATCCTTGGTCCGACTCAGTTTTTAACTTTCATTAATAACCCTCCCAATAGCATCAGCTCTCAACTTGGTATCTATGCTGATAACACAACCATTTACTCCTGCCTTGATAGCAAAGCTGATCAATGCAACAAGGTCAAATTGGCAGTGGCTGTCCAAAACAACCAAGTCTGTTGTTAACTGGGGCAAAAGATGGCTTTTTATTTTTAATGCCTCCAAATCTAAATTTCTCTCCATTAATCATCCATGCTCAAAATATTGCTGCCACATATGGTCCAGTGCCCTTGAGCTCCTTGATAAGATCCAAAGAAGAATCAGCAATATTATTAGTCCTGATCTGGCAGTTTGGTTTCAGTCACTTTCCCTCTGTCATAAGGTTGCTTCTGTGTCTTTTTTATAAACTCTTTCATGGTAATTATTCGTATGAGCTCTCCATTATGATACCTAGATTTTTTTAATTTAAGTGCAGTACTAGACTGCCGTTGAAATCTCATCATTTTATAGTTGAGCTGGCTAGATGTAGCCATAGATTCTATGCTAAAAGTTTCTTTTCTTGCTTGTGTAACTCCCTTCCAGTGTCATGTTTTAAGTTGCAAAAATTTAAATGCAATGTCACTTAGTTACTGTCCTCTTGGTTACTCTTTCCTCTTCCCGCTCATTATTAATGTTTCTGTTCCTAATTCTTCCACACTTTGTAACCTCTTGTATTTTAGTGGCTTTGTTGACTGGCATGGAGTGATACTGATTAAAAGAAAAATGTTATTAATTTTATAGTTTAACTGAAGAATTATAGTCCATTAACTTATGTAATGTAATTCATTTTCTAAGTTTGTTAATATGAAAATAAATAATTTACATTAAAATCAGTATTTTAATTTTTTCTATTCTTACAATTAATAGCAAAAACATTGCTTAAGTGTGTTTATGTCTGTAATTTGCATCATTGGTAATTACAGAATGCTGAAGAGGAATTAAAAAAATGTTTGGATCAAAAGTTTCATAAGGCCATTCCAGAAGTGTCTGTCTACTTAATAGAAAGTGTTGGTAACTCAACAAGAATTGATTATGGCACTGGTTGGTATTTTTTTCTATTGTCTCATTTTAATATATATTTTTAAAATTTCTGTATGTTAGTGGGTGGTGTTATTTCAAAATGTGTAGTTTTACAGGACATCCATTGGAGTTTCTTCATCATCCTGTTGAATGATTTCAGAGTATATCTTGGTCTTAACTGGTTTATGTGCCTTTTGCATACACATCTTTTTCCTTTCACGTATAGATTTAGAAAATCCTTTTTTTCTTCCAATTCTATTTGAAATAATTCCATCCTCCCAAAAACATTTTCCACCTCAGATATTTTTGTTAGTTCCTGAAAAAAACTTTTGTTTCCCAGGCGTATACTTCTTTGCACAGAAATTCTCTTTGTTATGCATTTTCTTTTTTGGACATCTGTTGAATATTGATCTTATCTTTCTCACAAACATCAATTCCACAGGTGACGATTTTTCTCTATTGTTTGCATTCAGTATTACTCTGTATACTGCTAAGAATTTCTGTATAGCTTTCTCCTCTGTGTCTACTCCTTGATTTTTCTTTGTCCACAAATTTTTCCACTAGCCCATTTGACCTTGGGTGGTAAATCGTTGTGACATATTCAATGTCCAATGAAGCACAGAATTCTTTGAATTCTTTACCTGTAAATGCAGTTCCGTTATCACTGACCAATGTCTGAGGAACTTTGAAGTGGCTGCAAACTTCGTCTAAGCACTGATAGTATTTCTAGAAGTTGGGTGTTTGTATTTAAAAACTTCTGGCCACTTAAAGAAACTATCCACAATGATCAGGTAATAATACCTGTTAAGTGGTCCTGCATAATAAATGTGTAGATGTGTCCAGGGGATATCTGTTTCTGGCCATGGTTCTGTTTTAACTGGTGGGGCTCTTGCAGCTAACTGACACCCTCTGCATTTTTTCACAAAATTTTTGACATCTCTATCCATTCGTGGCCAAAAAACATAACTTCTCATAAGAGATTTCATACAAGATATGCCAGGGTGACCCGTATGAAATTCTTTTAAGATCTTTTTATGTAATGCCTCTGGCATCACCACCCTGCCTGCATACATTAGCATATTTTTGCAGATTGAATACGGAGAAATTTTAATTCCCTTTTTATTTCTTTCATTTATCCTGGCTTGTATTTTCATATCTTTAATAAAATTATCATTTTCTGCTGCTTTTCTTATGTCTCCCAGTATCACTGGTCGTTCCCAAACAGTATTACACAGCAAATGCAATGTTTCTTGTTCATCCTTTAAAGCCGCAATTACAGTTTCTTCCAAAATTTCATTATGTTTTAGATCAACCTTGATAGTCCATCTGCATGACGCAAATTTTTAGATGAGATGTACTCCATTTTAAAATGGTAATTCAATGTTACACCCCACCACTGTAATTGGTTTTCAGTATGAATTGGAATGCCCTTCTTTGATCCAAAAATGGTCAGTAACAGCTTATAGTCAGCTGGTAGTGTAAACACTCTACCATGAATGATACGATGGAATTTTTTAACTGCAAAAATTATTGCTAAGCTTTCCTTTTTGATCTGACTGTAATTCTTTTCTGCTGGCATAAGACTCCTTGAAGTGTGTACAATTGGTTTTGTTGAACCATCTTCGTATTTGTGAAGTAGCACAGCTCCGACTCTATATTCACTAGCATCAGAAGCAACAATGATTTCTTTTTCTGGATCATAGTGTGCTAATGCTAAATCAGTCAGTAAACAGTTTCTAATTTTTTTAAAATCTTTTTCACAGTCTTTGAACCAACACCATTTAACCTGCTTTTTCAACAATTTGTTTAACAGTGCTGTTAATTCATACATCTTTGGAATATATATTGCATAGTATTGCACCAAACCTAAAAATGATTGCAATTTTGCTGTGTTATCTGGGGCAGGCATATTTCTTATGGCTTCAGTTCTCTGTGGATCTGGTTTTCTGCCATCTTTATTCACAATCTGCCTGAGATACTTAATTTTTTTCATAAAAAACTCACATTTTTCAAGGTTCACTTTAAATCCAAATTCTTCTATTCTCTTGAAGATAGCCCTTATGTATTTTTTATGCTCATCTATATTTTTACTTTTCACCAAGATGTCATCCAGTTAAGCAATGGCAAATTCTAACTCTGCAAGCATTTTATGATTTGTTGAAAAGGTGAAGATGCAACTTTTAAACCAAAAGGAAGTTGGTTTAATTTAAATAATCCTTTATGTGTGTTAATTGTCAGATACTTGAAACACTCTTCATTGACTTTGACTTGCAAGTATGCATCTGACAAATCTATTTTAGAGTATATTCTACTCCCATTTAATTTTGAGAAAATGTCCTTAGGTAAGGGAATCAGGTAACTGTGGTCTTTCAGACAGTCATTTAGACCTGTCAAAAAATCTGCACATACTCTAATTCTATTATTTTTCTTTTTAACATACACAGTAGGCAATGCTCAATCTGAGTGATCTATTTTTGAAATAACACCTAATTTTTCCAATCTTTCTAGTTCTTTGTTAATAGAATCTAATGAAGAAAATGGAACATTCTTTTTAGGTCTGAAAATTGGTGTAACATTTTCTTTCATTTCAATTTTTACCTCCGTTTTCAAACACATACCCAATCTTTCAGAGAAAACTCTGGGAAATTTGTCTTTCAAATCATGCATGAATTTTTCTGTCTGTTTTAATTTTTCTTTTCCCAGGTGTTCACCTGATTACAAAAAGAGTTTACAGGCAATTCCCATAAATTAAATAGCATGATCCAATCTATGGTGAAAAGGCAGGAGTTGTTCCCTTTATGTATGTATACTTTTGACCTGAAAGCCTTATCACAAAATGGAACATTACACTTAAGTTCACCCTTAAATTTGAGTGTTTCTCCTGAAATACCACTGGCAATTTTGTTTGTGTCAGTCAATTTTGGTTGACCTATTTTCCTCTATGTCTGTTTGTCAATTATACTAATGTCAGAACCTGAATCCAAAAGAAATGTTACCATATGTCCATTTATACATGCATCGACATACTTTCGTTTCTTGCCATTCTCAAATTCCTTTCTGGAGAGAATCACATTCATTTTTTCACTTGTCTTTTTCTTTCTTTTATAGCATTAGGACCCTTTATGTTCCTTACGGCCACATTCAAAACATACCTTGTTTTTGTACCAGCAATTATTTTTTGTGTGATTAAATCCTCTGCAACATTCACATTTCTTTTTGTTCTTCATGTTTAGGACCATTTTTGCTTTTACTCACTGAACTTTGAAGACATTATTTTCCTCTATCTGAGTATTATCTCATTTTACATTAATCAGACATTGGCGCTCTTCAGTAACTTTTTACAAAGTAACCTCATCATCTTTTTCAATTATAGTAAGAATCTATGATCTGATATCCTTGTCCTTGGGAGCTGTTAGTCCCTGAAAAAATATTAGACATTTGAATAAATCTTTCGAAATCTCGTCAATTTTGAAAAGTTCACATAATGAGTTAACCATCCCAGCATACAATAAAAAATTCTCGTTTTCTGACTTAATGATATTAAGGCATTTGTAACGTGTGTGGAACAAGCTATCTCTTTCATCGAATATCCTTGATAGGGTTTTAATTGTTTCTTCAAACAAGACTTCTAGTTTCTTTGGTAATATTAGGTTAGAGTATTTTGTATTTTCATCTGTCCCCATTTTTTGTAATAAAAGGGTGAATTTTTCCTCATCTGACCAGTCTTGGCATCTATTTGTAAATATAGATTCTTATCTTCTGAAATATGCTTGGAAGGTAATCCCATTGTCTGGGTCATAATGAAATTCTGTTAATGAATTTGTAATACCTTTGGCAGAGAAGAAACTAGTTTTTTGTTCTCTGATTTTCACCATTAATTTTTCAGAAAGTTGAAGCTGTTGTTGTTGTTGGTTTTGCAACAGTTGTATTTGCTGTTGTTGTTGCTGAACACTAGTGCACGGGAAACAGTTTCAATAAGCTCTGTTAATTGTTCCATTTTTTTAACTCAACAAGTCTTTTTCAGAAAAGGCAATCCAAGCCCTTATGCTCAGCCAAAAATTCCCCATAAACTTTGCATAAACGGGTTTGGGTCTGTCTATCTTCCTGGACAAGACTCTGCCCTTCAGCATAGCCTTGTCCAGGTTCTCTGCCATCAGGCATAGAGTTTGACAACAGCTAAGAGCAGAGTAACAGATCCCAGCTAGTATATTTAGCTAAAACCTCCCCCCCACAAGAGTTGCATGTAGCACAAGGCTGGTTCAATGTGGGTTCTCCGAGCCCGTAGGCTCAGCCAAAAATATTCCCTTTTTGAACCTGTATAAACGGGCTCAGGGGCAGTCTACCTCCCTGAACGAGACTCTGCCCTTTGGCGGAGCCTCGTCCAGGTTTCTCTCTGCCCGAAGGCAGACAGGTTGACTGTTCAGTTGGAACAGGTTGCAGCTAGACTCCGTAGTCCATTGACTTACAGATACTTATAGGTTGTTAACTACCTATAGTGTAGTCACTCATGGGAGTGACAGGTTATTCCATTACATCAGTTATAAAATGAATGAAAATTTAAAATTGAAACTTCGCTCAGGTCATTTTGTCAGAATATTGAATCAAGTGGATTGTTCATACTTTACAAACAATCTTTACTCCTAGCAATTCATAAAACTTTGATAAATTATATTTGAACACAACTTTCAACATCCTTTTGCCCTATAGTCTCTTATATGCTTTATTAATCAATCAAACTCATAACATTTTGATCATTGTAACTTCTGACCTAATGTTGTTTGTCCTCTTCTTTCACTGAATCAGTGTATGTGACATCCAGATATCGGGAACCAGATATACTTTAACCATTGCCATGAGACCATATAAATAAAACCAGAGAGGCTAAGATTAACATCTCAACCTCCATTACAATCCAGAAGCTCTTCACTAACAAATCTAACAGGATCAACCCACCAAGAAAAACAA